CAAAGTGTATGTCTGGGCACGTGCACTGTGGCAAAAAGCCCCAGCTCAAATTTGCACCACTTCTATTTGAGCTGCTGCAAGTGCACGTGCCTGCATGTGTGGATGCGCATGTGGGGGTTTATACATGTGACACTGTGGCAATGCTACAATGTTCTAATTAGAACACACAGCAGACTCGATTAATCAAGTCTGCTCTGACACATTCTAATTAGAACACATTGGAGCCTGTGTATCGGCACCCTAAGAGCTGGCATTTTCTGAGGGCTTCTGTGAGTCTAATAAGGTTGAAAACCATTGGCTTAGATAAAAGGAAGCTCTAAACATACACAAAACATTATCTAATGAGAGCATTACATATGATGTAGCTTTTAGTCATATTAGAATTTTCTTTTAAAAGTCTGAAACACATTTTTGAGCATTAAATCAGAATTTATTTTGAAAAAGAAACCAAAAGTTTTTTCCTGCATCGTGGAGCCAAAATAAATATTTACTACTAGAAAAAAACAATAAATGAGAACTTCTTTCTACAACTAGATGCCTTAGGTGTCATCAAAAGTGAGGGGGACAGCTGTGTGCATGAGCAGATAATCACTGTGTCCCTGAGTCAGGAGTAGGTAATAGGAACATTATTACCCATTACTGCCATCAGACAGCATTTAAACTCTTCATATAATAGCTATTTAATTCATAAACTGTAGACAGTCTTAAACATCTCAGTTCACTGGATAGGTTGATGGTGAATTTGTAAAACTGGCAACAAAGTAGTGTAGACACTCCTGAGGGAGCTTTAAACCACCTACTGGGTAGCAGTCTAGCCATAACAATACAGAGCTTGGCACTGACTAAGTTACCCTGCTTCTCAGCTCTGTGCATCATAAAGTACATCAACTGCTAAGGTAGGCCTGGTTTTCTCTACAATGCACTGCAGTCATTTCTGTGTTGGCAATTTAGACATAAATAATATGTCTAATGATATAGCTGCCAATAGCTTCTGAATGGGAAATTTCTCTGAAAAGGAGGACCTTGGGAGGATCACTTTCTGAAGAGTATTTTACTTTAAGAACATTGTAATATGCTTCTTATGGGGAAAAAGCAATCTTTTCACTGAAAGCACTATGTCTACAACTGTAGGAGAGGAAAGATGGCTTTGTGGTTAGGCACAGGACCAAGAGACAAGAAACTAAGGCTTTATGCACTGTTTTGCTACGCACGCTGTGTGTGATCATAAGCGCAAGTTGTGTCTCAATTCTACCAATCTGAAGCATGAATAATTCCATTTAGTCCGTTAGGTAGAAGATCAGGATGAGGCCTCTGGTGCTTCAATATTCCAGTACTCAAAATCAAAATATTAATACATCTCTAAATCACAGTGGCTCTGTGAGGTTTCATTTTAATGTGAGTATAACTGTAAGATGGAACGTTCAATAGGAGTTAAAAAGATTAATGCTGTCCCTGTCTGTCAAAAGATATCATGCTCATGTTACTGCCAGGTATATTGTATAAATATGTATTAAACATAGGGAAAACCTCTATAAATGTGTGTAAATATGTATATAGGTACCATAAGAGTCAGTTATCATCTGATTTTTAGTCAATCAATGACTAAAACGTACAAAGAAGATCTCTCCAGAAATACAACTTGTTTAAGAGAGCACTCCTTCTGATACAGATTTGCCTTAATGTTTCTTTTCCGTGTCCAATATAAACCCTATGATGGACTTCCAAATTTTTCTTTGTAGGTAGTTTCTTGGAAATTACATTAGGAACAGGGCAGATACTTAAGGAGCATGGAATTTGGGCTCTGGAAATTCTCATCCCAGAAAGGCAACCAAGGAAAGGATTCCTCCCCCATCCCTTGCTGCCAATCTGGAGCCTTGCTCAGAGAATGTGCATCACGGGAAGAGAAGAAAATAAGTTCACAAGTGGGCCAGCCCTGGCAATAGCAAGAGGGCGCTACAAAGGCTTATTCCTGTGGCACAGTGATAGGCACAGCATCCTAAGTTCAAGACCTTGATCTGGCTCAGCTGCATTTCCTCTGCTGCCCAGTGTTTTTTTTTCAATTTCCCCCAAGCTTTTAGGCATCACCAATCAAGGAGTCCCTCAGAGCAGGCTCCTGGTTTCAAGCCCTATGTAGCTGTGGAGTGACAGGCTTGTTGGACTCCTAAGAGTGAGGTCCTGGGTTCAGGATACTGTTCTGGCTTGGTCACACCTCCCTCCTGGCCAGCAGTGGCTTTTTATTTTTTCCAGTTCACCTTCCTTAGGTCCCACAGACAATACCCATTGTGGAGTCCGACAGAGCAGCTGGGTGTGAGTTTGGGACTCTCTTCCCTGGTGCCTTCCCCAGGTGAGGTGCCAAGCCACCCAGCTATTGCCATGGCAGTGGAGGGCAAAGTCACGGGGCCTGGCTTCAAACAGCCAAGTTGGAATGCCTGAAACTGCAATACAAAATCTTGTCCCTTTCCAGCCACGCTGCAGAATTTCAACAGGCTTTTCCACATGCAGCCACGGTAAACTAGAGGTTGCGAGGCAGTTGAAAAAACCCAACAAAATCTCTTTCAGATGGGTCCAAAAGGACTTACATGTTGGTGTAGCATGTGGCCAAACAGAGAACATGCAACACAGAACCCAAGTACATGGTTTCTAACTAATCTACTGCAAACTCTTTGTTTATTTATATTTAAGGCAGTCTTGCAGTCTAGGCAGCGGCTCTTTTGGGATGTTTGTTGGGTGGTGATATTTTCTCATTAGGCATGCTACATTCTTTTCTAGCCCACTATTTCTCTAGTTTGTTCAGTAAGGAAAAACTGGGCCAATGAAATACTGACATCAACTTACAGGAAAATGTTTTGGAAAAATGTATGTTGATTTAACCTTTCAGAGTACAGAATGTTTTATTTTGAAATCCATTTGTAAAAGAATCACATTTCATCATGCTCAACTTTTTGATTCAGTGTTATGAAATGTACTCCCTTTTAATGTCTTCTTAGTTTGACTTTCAAAGTAAGCAGCACCTGTTACACAAAAGCTCATAAACTTTCTTTTCTTACTCTAGAGAAATACTAAAAACCTTTGAAATATTATTTTATAAGAGCCAGTGATTTACTTCTGCAACATTTTCCAAGAATGAAGGGAGGGAAAGAGGGAGAAAATAGTAAAAAGACTTTACTTAACATGGCCAGTACCATACTGCTGATGAATCACTGGCTATGATCATAGCTATCATGAAGATTGTCCTTGCTCAACTTTTATGAAAGTCTAATCTGTAGGTATAAAATACTGAAAACTACCTAAAATCTGCTTCAAAGTTACTTAAACAGAATGATTCATCTGGTAAAATATGTAGCTTTCTAACTGGAAAAATATTTCTCTATGGCTGAGCAGAGGTAAGACTGACAACAAACCCTAATGATTTAGTAGTAGTACCTACAGTTTTCTTTGGCCCCTGTGTACTATATTTGTAAAAAAGACAATAAAAAAGAGAACAATTGTAAAAAGAAAATATTTTGTACAAAAATACAAAGTTTTAAAAGCTCTTAAAAGTATATTCCATATTATTGATAAGAATTGGACTATATATATATATATATTTATATAAAATCTATATATATATGTGTATCTGTGTAATTTTCCTACATTTGGGATTTTAGCAAATGAACTGTACTGTTTATACAGTAGCTTTATAAGTTTTTCCTATAGCTGAATGACCAAGAGTCTTACTCAGACTGACAAACTGTCTTTTCTCTGAAGTCAAAACTTGCATAAGTATATGGTTACTAGCTGAGGAAAAAAAATCTAACTGATTCAGTCCAATTGCATTTCCAAAAACTCTTCATGCCATGGGCTGAAGCCCTTGAAAAACTGCAAGATGGTAAGGAAGAGTTGTGGCTGAATTCTTTTTTTCCCCCTATTAAGCCAGTTTTCAGTGCTTCCTCTTTCAATTTTGTTGGGAGATGATGCAGTCCCATAGGATTTCTCTTCTTCAAGGAGATTTTAATCATTTGTAAGCATCTACGAATTCACAGCCTATTGTGCTCCAGATGTTTGGGCTAGAGTGAGAGAGAAAATTCATAGGTGAAAGGCTCATAAAAGTAAAATGAACTGCCAACACGGAAACTGATTGAATTTGAGATCTCTTGGAAACTCCTAACAAGAAAAATACTTTTTTTCAGAGATGGCCATATTAGGAGCTTGTACATACCCAACAGTTAGTACATTTTAAACTTAAATGTCTACTAATATAATTCATATTTATCTAGGAAGAGAGTTTATATATTTGATTTCCTCTGGCCCTGCCCTCACTCATCCTGTCCCCAAACTCCCAGCTGCTCTACTAGCCCCGCAGGCTGGATCCAGCCCATGAGCTGCCTATGTGACACTTGTGGCCCCAGGTGCCAAAGAAAAGCTGGAAGAAGGGTTAAGGGTTAAGTCTGTATATATCTGCCAGAGGGGATGGAGATCTAATTTATGAGAGGCTCTTCCTTCCTTACAAAACAGCCCTATACCCTCCACCCACACACAACAGGCATGGTTTGTCTTTGCTCCAGCTGTATAAACATGGCACAGGAGTTGGCCTTCTGTGGACAGGGCAAAACTATTCAAATCAAGCCTCAAGCTTACCTTTGTCCATATCTTTTTCACAAATAAAGTTGTTAATATCTTCACAGTGAAAGTCATTCCAGAGCCCAGCAGAGATTAACCCTGCACAATCTTCTCCTGGTCCATTCCCAGGGCTCCAGTTATCAGGTTGCCCAGTTTTCCAGTTTCTTTAAAAAAAAAAGTGGCCATTATTTCATAACTCAGCATCATATCATTGTTCTCCACATGCAAGAGATTAGCAAAAGCATCATGAGATCTGTTCTGAATGGGAAATGCACTCTTTAGCAAACAATACATGACTCTTACTGAAAATGGAAAACAGATGTGCTGCTGGGAAGGGAATCTACTTGGCCTAAGCCTGCCAAAGCTCAAAATCCTAAAATTAGACCAATGAACTACATTTTGGTTTGTGAGTGTACTTCCATACATGATGACAGTCCGTATCACATGCACATCCTCTGCTGTGTCTATTTCTTTGTTGCCAGCAAATGGTACTAGGGCATACAGGATTCTTCCTATAGTATTGCAATCCATATCATTCTGCAAACCATGGTGTAGATGGGTGTAATGGACTACAATCAATCCACAAAAGAAATTGGCTCAAGTATATTCAGATACCTTCTTTCTGACCAGATGCGAGCAAGTGAATATTATACTCAGTGGACAGGTGACCAACATACTTTATAAACCTTATGCCCTTTAAGTGGGTTAACTGCTTTGTTTATCACTTCTGTTCTCTTTCCCCACCATCACTTCTTTCAGCAGTGTCCCCTCTCCCTTTCCTCCCCTTTTCCCTCTCATTTTATTTAAATGACTCTATTCTTTTCTGTTTAGTACCCCAACTGTCTGCAAGTCCATTCATAGCTTCTGACAAACTAGGTTATCACATACAAAAGCTTATGCTCCCCTGAACAAGCTAGTCTATACTGCAATCCTGCCCTGCCTTCCACCTGATCTGAGGTTAACACAGCTCACTACCCTCTACTCATTGGAGAAACAGGTTGCTGAACAGACACTTGTGATTGCTGCATGAAATGGTGCCACAGGCAGCTAAAGAACATATCTTCTTGACACAGAGGGTATAAGCAAGCAGTGGGGAAAACACACAGCTTTCCAGAACTAACAAATCAAGTTCAAAATCAGGACTGACAGTTTTGAGGGCACTAGAGGACACTTAGGAGTACAGCATAATGAAAATCTGAAGGAATGGTGGCCATGACACAGGCCCCATAGTCATTTTGAAATTGGAGGATGGGCAGAAAGGAGGGTCAAAGTAGCTTCCAATTAGAGCCTAGCTCATTAACAGATTTGAAACACAGTTTCTTTCTGGAGCACCGCACACTGGACTCTCTAATCTCTGTGGTCCACTCCTTTGTATTGAAATGTAGAGTGGCTGCAATGTGCTCCATTTAGTACAAATTAGGTGAAGCCCACTAATTCTTGGTTAGTTGCCAGTTCATCTCCCAGTTGGCCAAAACTTGGACATCCTTGCTTTATATGTTTTCCATATGTTCAGTGCCTGTCATTTGGCTCTTGGCTAGTCATTTTTTACAAGAGCAAACTCTCTGTTTATGGCCATTTACAATGCAAATGAGGACAATTTAAACCAAGACTGAAAAAGTGTCTGTGCTTTCCACCCCAACTTTGTAATAACATTTAGAGGCAAGCACCTTGGCAAACAGCATTGTACTGTGAAGTTATAGTATTATTTCAACGTTCACTTTTCTTCTAAGCAAATAAAGCCTTGTGCACAGAGAAAGGAGAGGGGAGAAAGCAATATTGAACAACAGCACTAAACACAGAATTCCTTCAGTGGCACCCTTTAACCTGGGGTGCTACAAATCATGTACTGATACGTATAGTGGCAGTAAGAACAGTAGTGCTCTGCAGAAAGTAACCATTGCGGTTTTTTCAATACATACGTGTACACTGGTAAGGTTCCATCCAACCATTTCCACTGGTTTTCATGTTCTGAATCCGTAAGCCCAATCCAGAAGCTGCCTTTCCCTGCAATCTGTTTTTTAATCCATTGCTGTGAAAGAAAGAAGTAGAGTGACTGCATTTTATTGCTTTACAGAGCATGCAAACACATGCTTGGTGGATAATTGGCTTTCTGAAGACAAATCAAGTGCAATGCTCTTCCTCTTCCCAATGTTCCACTCCAGTGTTCCCCTTCTTTTTAATTTTGGATGACACCCTCCCTCATTCTCCTTCTTTTGTGCACTACTATCACCTCAACTAGAGAGTGAAGCAGTCCGAGGGGGCTCTGGGAGTGATTTTACCCTTCTTGTAACTGAAGCACACTCTTTCCAGATACAACTCTGCTGGCTGGAACTTCCTTGCCATGCAAAGGGACTGTAGTTTGTAACTCAATCATTTCTCCAGAGCTGTCAGTACTAGTTTCACTTTTGAGAGGTAATCACTAGTAGAGTACAAATGTTTGTAGAAGTTTTTAGGCAGCTCAAGGTGTGTTTTCAGGCCTGATCCTGTAACCCTTGCTTACATTAACAGACCCACTAAAATCAGTGACACTATTTGGGCAAGATCACTAAGCATTTTTGCCTTGAACACTGAGCTGTTGGTTAGACAGCAGTCAATGCTAGAGTTTTTAAATCAACCAAAACAAAGCCACAAGGTGTACTTTGTTATACCACTACTGGATGATAGGGATGTGTTGGCTATCATGCAATTATACCACAGTGACAAAAGGTATAGTTGTTGTTCATTATTGCTGCAATTCCTACAGAATATCTTCAGATCCCACTAAAGACTTAAGATGCTTATAGTAAAAGATGGAATTTTAAAATAAAGTATTTGCATCGATGGGAAGATACGATACAGACCATCTACAGCTAACAGTGGACTTTATCTTGAAGGGACTGAGCATTTCCAAGTCCCACCATCTCTCAAGGGTGCTGCAAGGGGGTGCATTAGCTTCAGGATCAGGTTCAGTGCTACCTGCACTGCTGTTCTGCACACTAAGGGCTAAGCAGACGTAGTTGTACAGAATTCTGGATGGGGTAATTCAGTGTGCTTATTTCACCACAGAAATGCAGGATACTCTTGGTTTCTTTATCCACTATGTGGGATCCATGTTCATAGCACCCTCAAACTGGCTACTGCTCAGAACAACAAACAAGGTTATTTACCTGCTCATCTTTGTTGTTTATGATAATCAGATGCGATGACCTTTCTTCACAGAAAGACTTTGCCTCTTCAAAAATTTCTCTCTCAAATGAAAAGTAATAGCATTTCTCTGTAAAGTTCTTCCAGTGAGCAGAACAACCTATAATACATAACCCTTCTGTTAAACTGACTTCCTATAAATCTATGAGCTGTGGTAATTTTTAAACCCAGCCTGAAACCTCCTTAAAGTAGGGATTATGCACAGTTCCACAGTAGGGCAATATAGGAGCTATCTGTGTGGTGAGCAATGAAAATGTACTTATCAGAAATCTGTGCCAGAATGCAGAACATAGTTTAACCACAGCAGGCTCAGGGGAATGGCTTATTACTCACTGCATTGCTGCCACCCGTTTGGCTGAAAGATACATTTTTTAAAATCAAATTCCAGAACAGCAGAAACAAAAAGGCAGACTTGGCTTTGCCATACAATTCTGAGCTCCATGTTCTGTGTCCCCAAGAACGTCATTCCTTCTCATGTCCTTGTGACAAAGTATTTAGTGGAACTCACAGATTTGTTAGAATCTGACAGGGCTACACCATGAGCACTTCTGCTATAGCCTCAAACTTGCAACATCTGGGCTGTCAACTGTGCAGCTTAGTGCCCACATCACCCCAGCCCCCCTCTGAGCACTGGGAAGTTCTAAGATAACAGAGGTTAATGGGTGAAATACAAATGCCAAGATAAGCAGCTATTCACAGTGTAGGTGGGTAGCTTACCATTAGCCTCAGGTGTTGATGTTGGTTCACTCTGCAGGGCCATTGGCATTCCTGTACCAGAGGGGCCAGGAGGCCCAGGTGGCCCCTTTGGACCAGGTAGTCCTGGTATTCCAGGCAGACCAGGCAGTCCTCGAGGTCCAGGTACCCCTGGCTCTCCAACCGTTCCTTGCAATCCTTGAAATCCAGGTGGGCCCTGTGGACCTGGAGGACCATCTTTACCAGGTGGTCCTGGTGGTCCTGGATCTCCAGTTGGTCCTGGCAGGCCAGTCTTGCCTGGAGAGCCTCTCTGACCTTTGGAGCCAGGTGATCCTCTGGAACCTTTTCCACCTTTTTCTCCGGGTGGCCCAATTGGACCAGGGGGGCCCTTTTCACCTGCCGGTCCTGGTGGTCCTGGCTCTCCCTTTTCTCCTTTCTGTCCTTTTGCACCAGTTGGGCCAAAAGACCCTGGAGGCCCCCTTTCACCTTTAGGCCCCCTTGGACCTGGAGGTCCTGGAACAATTGAAACATGGACAGTGGAGGGAACAAAAACCAAAAGGAGAGTTTGTTTAATTTATCTAGCCTTAAAAACATCTCTTCAAATACCTTAGTTATCCCTATTATTCATTGAGTCTTCTCAAAGTATATGATTCCATGCAGGACATGGACCTTGTAATTAAGTTCAGCAGGTATGTAATTCACCAAATGATCAGGAAAGGTTCAGGTCTCTAACAGCAGTGACTACCATTTGCTGTGCACCCATATGCCTGTCAAGTGAGAAGCAGACTGAATGCAGACCACAGGCCAGTTTGAGGAAGTAGGAAGAAAGAGAAAAAAACTACAGGCTATTTAAGAGCCATGCGATGGATGGGTAGTGAGCAGCAAGTGAAATGCAGGGTTGATGGAAAGGAAAGACTGAGGATCGGGAGATAGATAACAATCACAGCAGCGAAATCAGCATTACAACAATATATAGACAATGCAAGCCTCTAACCAGTAACTTTGTCCAATTTGTGGATAATTACCACTAAAACAATCATGGATAAAACTGTACTAGCCTAAGGTACATTAGTTCAGGTGTCATCTTTGTCCAGCCCAGGATAGCTTCTTGCTAAAGGCAAACAGGCTGCTCTCCAGTAAGGTGCAGCAGTAAGGTGCAGCAGCATTACCTATTTTGGGAACTACCCCAGCATAGCTACACATCTATCTATTCCTCACCCCAGTGCAGACAAAACCATTGTATGTGCTTGCCAGTCCAGTGCCTGAGACTACCTATTTATTGGATAATTATCAAAGAAAAAAGTTGCAACAATCACAAAAAGCAACGGGGACATGGTGAGAGCTTTCCACATTTAAACATTAAATTAGATTTGTATTCTGTTCATAAATGAGTGGATGTTTTAGGAAATTCTTATTTTCCTCCCAATCTGCTTCACTGATGGAGATTAAATGATAAACTCCTAACATGCCTAGCTCAATCTGTGAGAGAGGGTAAAAAAAAAAATAAAAATAAAGGTACTCTGGAATTTTATTATGAGTATGACTAACATATTTTGGATCCTGCTTCAATCTTGATTTATTCTGTGGACAGGTTTTGTTTCTGTAACCAGAGTTCAAGGCCTGACAGTTATTGGTTCAAACCAGGTTGGCAATGTTAGCTGGATTTAGAAGAATACTCGGCTCAGAAGAAACTGCACCTTTCCTAACAGCCTTATTTATGTTATTTACTTCACTGGAAAATAAAGTATTCTTTGATTAAACGAAACAGGATAGTTTCTGACCTGATCACAGCTGACTTAAAACAAAATAGGAACCTGTTTTTCACACTGGGTGGAACCACTCTGGGAATGATCCAATGTATATTTTTCAGCCATGCCCTCTTTAGCAGAGATTGGTTTCTTTAGGTTCCACACCTTCTATAGCTAATTTTGGAAGCTAAATTAAAAGCAGACCCAGCAGTTAGAACAAAATGTAATGAAGGAAGATTTTTTAAATAAAATCCCAATTCCAGACAGGTAAAGAAGAGATGGTAAACTTAGGAAGGTGGAAAAATTGCAAGCCAGATTGATACCTCTCAGTGGTGTTTCCTCTAAACTACCTGATGTGTGCAGCTGTGCAGGCGTGCCTGCCAGTGCAGCATGAATACACCTGTGTGGCTGCACACGTATGCATCTTAGAGGGAATGCTGCTTCTCAGGTTTAGAATTAGATAACGGAACAAAATGAGGTCTATGTAACAGAATAATGGGGAAGATTTTCATAAAATAAAGGAGAATTAATTTATCTAATCTTTTTTGATTAAAAATTATACTAAGGCTTTCTTGTCCTCTCTCTAGGGATAGAACCTAAAGACCCACAACACTATTAAAAAAGTGTAGATAGCAACTTTTGTGTCCTCTTGGGTACTGTTTCCTTTCTTAAGATTAACCTTTACCCTGGTGCTGCTAGACATGCTAGATGAGTGGCTGAGTGTTTATGTCATAGCCAAATTCTAGCTTCACAAAATCCAGCCAAGAGCAGGGGCTGGCCAGGATGGGTATGACACATGGCAGAAACAGAAATGGAAGATTTGCCATATTTGCAAAAAACCCTGGATTCTCTCCCAGCAAAATAGGGGACCAGGAAGCTCTGACAGCTATCCTAGACTCATAGCAAAGAAAATAATTTAGACACGTTAGCTGCAATACAGCAGGCACATCTACATGGGCAAATGATCTGGGAGCAGTTTACTCATGAGTAAACTACTCAAGAATAAACTCTCCTGGGCATGTGTCTACATGTGCAAGAGCACAGGAGAAGATTTGCTGCTCCTAGCAGCAGACTGCTCCCACTCCCTGTAGCCTTGCAACCAGCCCCTAAAGCAGCCAGGGGGAGCTCTAGGATCCTCCTAGCTGCTAACCCAGGGGCAAGGAGACAGCTGTCTCCAGGTGGGGGCTAGGACATTGCTCCCTACCCCATGGAACGGTCTACTGCTAGGGTGAGGACAATGTCCCTCTATCTTGGCAGCAGGGAGCTTCCAGCCCCCTGTCCATGATCGCAGCATCAGGAGATCTCATCTCCCAGCCCGAGTCCCATGGTCATGGGGCTGGGAGATCTTTATCCATGGAGCTGGTGCTGGGAGATAAGGATCTTTCAGTATGGCCCTCTGACCATGGGACTCTGCAGTTGCAGAGTGGGGCTGGGAGCTCCCTGCTGCTGGGGCAAGGGAACATTGTCTCTGTTTGGGCTCTGATAGTAGAGCCTACCCTTGCATCAGGCAGCTCTTGGGGGCAGGGAGCAATCTCCCACTCCCTACTGCCAGGGAGCACATTTGCTCCTGGTCAGGGGTTTACACATGCGCTACTGCACAGTTACTAATCATAAGTATATTTTCTCCTTGCATTTGCAGGTAGCAAATTTACTTACAATTAAAGCCATTTACTGAGCAGTAAGCATTTGCATGTGTGGATGTGGGTGCTTACTGTGCAGTAATCAGCTCTTTTGTGCAGTAAAGCATCTCGTGTAGACACACCCAGAAGAAGGCAGGACAGTGTGGCACTTTATAGACTAATTCTTTGATGTTCTCTGAATTAGTCTATAATAAGGTGTCACTTTGTCCTGCTTTCTGCCAAACTCATAGGAATTAGAATCACTTTTCTATAACACTGTGGCTAATGTTTATCCAGATCTTGTTCTTACCCAAGCTCTCTCATAACACATACATGCCAAGTCTATTCAGGATTTGTTCAGAATAATAGGATGCAGTCCAGAATATATATTTCTATATACCGTATAAGGCTGAAATAGTATGTGTTCATTTAAAGCTAGTAAAATTATATATCATTACTAGGGTTGTCCTTGAACAACAGACCAAAAGCATTATCTAAGATTCAGCTTACCTTGCAATATAGTGAAGTTCTTGATTAGCTGACCATGCTTGGAATCCACCAGCTTCATTTCTTCCATAATTACTGATAAATTTGCAACTTCAGTATCTAATCTTAATCTCATCGTATCCTGTTGCATCTTGAGAGATGTAGAATCTAAGCGAATATTGGCTAATGTGTTGTTCATAAAAAGCAGTTCATCGGAATGTTTACTTAAGGTGTCTGTACAAGTTGTCCTGACCTCATTGAGATTACCTGTCAATGTCCGTAGATGATGAGCAGTATAGCTGATATTGCTAATGATATTAACTATATCTGTTTCAAAGACCTGAAATCGTTCTTCAAATTGGTTAAATTTGGAAGCAGTTCTGTTCTCATAATCTCTGTGCTGATCTTGTAGCTCCTTAAGGTTTTGTTCATTGGCTTGTGCGATCACGGTAATGTTCTCCATTTGCCCACTGAATGAGCTGAGCTGACTGTTCATGTCTTCAAGTGTGTCATTGTTGGCTTTGGCCAATGCTGAGTTGTTTGCTGCTAATGTTTGTAAATTTTGCACTTTCTCCTTAAGCCAATCAGTATCCTTCCGTGCTTGAAGGACAACTTGCTGCAGATTTTGAAAATCATTCTTGATTCTTATGATAGCCAAACTTGTATCTTCCATAGACTTTTGCAAAACATTGATAAGATTCCTCTGCTGGATTTGTGTCAGATTTAAGTTGTTCAGATTCATGATGACCACATTATGTGAATGCATTTGGTTTTGTAAATTTGTTTGAATATTACTTGTGTCCTGCTGAAGATTGTTGATGTAGCCAGTGTATGCCTGGAGAGTTTTATTGACACCGATGATCATGAAAGAGTTGCTATCCAGGACACCTTTCATTTGGCTCTGCCTGTCATCTAATGCATTTCCAGACTCTTGCAGCTTCTCCAGTGTGTCCTCGTTTTTGGTAGTTTTCTCTGAAACCTCCTGAAGCTGCTGGCGAAGGGCTAGGATGTCAGCTCTGAAGCCAGAAAGTTCTGTGTTAGTGCTCACAGCTTTTTGTCCAGTTTGGTCATCTGTCAGAGAGAGACATTTTTAGAACCATTAACAAGTTATATTATTAAAAGTGAAATATAAAAAAGCACTCTCTTGCATTGTAAAAATATATAAAAGTAGTCAGGCAATCACAGCATTCAGTTGGTGGAACAATGGATTATCCTGCTTCTAATTCTTCAGGGCTGAATTCTGCCTCTGATGCACTTAAAAGTCAATGGAATATGATCCTTTATCTTGTTGATGGGATAGAATGAATAGTCTGTTGGCGCTATTGTGGAAGGAAGTTTACATATGTGTCACTAAAAGTCAGAGTTGTACTTTCTTTTAAAAATATCTTTTAAAAGAGAGTACTATAGAATATGTGGATTCATATGGTACTTACTATACTGAAAATAACTCATATGGTTTAGTGGAGTTCGACAAAGGAGAGGGTTATAAGCAGGGATCCTGTTTAAGAATTGCAAATTCTCTGATAAAAATGTGTGAATTTTCTGATTTAAAAACCCCCAAATCTGTGTTTTTCTGTGATTAAAATGAAACGCCACTATATATATAGGTATCAGTTCAACACAATTTATTGATACATTTACAATTTTCTGTTGGTCCAATCCTCCAATTTGTCTATGTCTCTCTGAATCCTAGCCCTACTCTCCAGCGTATCTACTACTCCCCCTAGCTTGATGTCATCTGCAAACTTGCTGAGGGTGCACTCTGTGCCATCTTCCAGATCATTGATGAAGATATTGAATAAAACCGGTGCCAGGACTAATCACTGGGGCACTCCTCTTGATACAGGCTGCCAACAAGACATTGAGTCATTGGCTATTACCCTCTGAGCCCAATGATCCAGCCAGTTTTCTATCCACCTTACAGTCCATTCATCCAACCCATACTGTCTGAGCTTGCCTGTGAGAATGTTGTGCGAGACTGTATCAAAAGCCTTGCTAAAGTCAAGGTATTCCACATCCACTGGTCTCTCTGCATCCACATAGCCAGTGACCTCAACACAGAAGGCAATCATTCTGGTCAGGTATGACTTGCATCTGGTGAATCCATGCTGACTGTTCCTAATCACCTGCTCCTCCTCCAAGTGCTTAGAAATGGATTCCTTGAGCATGTGCTCCATATTTTTTCCAGGGACTGAGGTGAGGCTGATCAGTCTGTAGTTCCCTGGATCCTCCCTTTTCCCTTAAATATTGGAAACTATATTTGCCTTTTTCCAATCATCTGGGACCTCTCCCAATTGCCGTGAGTTTTCAAAGATGATGGCCAGTGGCTCTGCAATCACATCAGCGAACTCCCCTACCACCCTTGGGTGCATTCTGTCCAGCCCCATGAACTTGAATATGTCCAGTTTTTCTAAATAGTCCCTAACCTGTTCTTTTGCCATAGTTGGCTGCTCACCCTCTCCCCAAACTGTGCTGCCAGGTGCAGTAGTTTGGGAGCTGATCTTGCCTGTGAAGACTGAGGTGAAAAAGGCATTGAGTACTTCAGCCTTTTCTGCATCCTCTGTCACTAGGTTACCTCCCCCATTCAGTAAGGGATCTACACTTTCCTGATCCTTCTTTTGTTACTGATATACCTGTAGAAACCCTTCTTGTTACGCTTCATGTCCCTTGGTAGCTGCGACTCCAGTTGTGCTTTGGCCTTCTTGACTTTATCCCTGCACATTTGAGCAATGTTCTTATACTCCTCTCTAGTTGTCTGTCCAAGATTCCACTTCTTATAAGCTTCCTTTTTGTGATTTAACTTACTAAAGAATTTGATCCTAAGCCAAGGTGGTCTTCTACCATACTTGCTAGTCTTCTTGCACATTGGGATGGTTTGTTCCTGTACTCTCAGTAAGGTTTCTTTAAAGTACAGCTAGCTCTTCTGGACTCCTCTCCCCCTCAGTCTGCTTTATTCAAGTCCAGAGTCCTTACTTTTTTCCTCTCCTTCCTTCCTTGTTGAAATTGAGAACATGAGGAAACAATTGGGTGCCTATATTGAACCTAATTACAGTAAAAGCTGTGTTAACCAGAATTTTACTAACTGGAACACTCTATTAACTGGAATTTCCAATATCTCCCAATACAAATCCTCACTTTAGCAACTGGAATCTTTTCCAAGTCTATCTGGCATGCGCATCAAGTATTTCTGTTGTTTACATTAGTTAGTGACACTGCCGTGAGAGGAGCTGCTGGACTCCTTCTAGTTGATATCCACATAGGCAGAGGGAGAAAATTTTGACGCGGGAGGGCTGTGCCCCACCCCAGGCAGGAAAGTCTGCGGGGGAAGGAGCAGGGGGAGAGGGAAGGGATCTGCATGGGGTAGGGCATGCTGCTGCTGTGGACTGGGGCCGATATAACTCTCAGATAATGAGAATTTTTAGATAACCAGCACCCTCTTTACCCCACTCATGCCAGATAACAAAGCTTTTATTGTATATCTGTTTTGCTATGATTGGGTACCTATACACATGCTCAGGGGTGTTGGGGGGGGCACTTTAATTAAAGCAGTTCCCGGAGACCACTCTAATTAAAACACCACAGTATCACATGTATTAAGTTCCACTGCATTTAAAAATGGCCGCAGGACAGTTAAAGCACCTAGCAGAGCCGGACACAGGCATGGGTGAACGGGGCAGCTGCACAGGGCCCGGACAGAAAGGGGGCCCCAAAAAGGTATTTTAAAATTATTATTATCATTATCTCTGGAGAAGAGGGGCCCAATACTAAAAGTTTGCCCAGGGTCGCCAGGAGTCTAGGTAAGGTGCTGCACCACAGCGCCCATTTTTAACCTGATGTGGGGGTTTACATAGGATGCTACAGTGATGCTAGAGCATTCTAATTAGAATGCGGAGCAGACGTGATTAATCAAGATTCATTGAGAACATGAGGAAACAACTGGGTGCCCATACACATGCTCCAACGTATTCTAATTAGAATGAATTGGAGCACATGGATAGGCACCCAGTTGTTCCCTCATGTTCTTAGTTTCAGTAAGTTAAAACCTTTACACTTTGAGGAGCCACACTTTTATTGCTCACACTGAACTATCATGTAATTCTGGTTTGCATGTAATATATTTTTACACGTATAATGAAGTTTTCTAGACTGCCAAACCATAAAAAGCAGAGAAATAAATGGTTAGCACTTCATGTAAATCCCATTTATCAGTGTATTACCTCAGCCTCAACCATTTCCTTCCACTACTCATAGCCCATATATCTCCAGCCTCACATTTGCTCAACCTTAAAATTTAATCATGTTTACTAATTCAACGGTGATATATTTCTGTGTTTAGAAGATTTTAATAAATCATACTAAACACAGTTCTGAGTGTAGTTTTATTGTACAAATGAGGCCTGATGACTGTTTGCAGTGGTGGATCATACTTCATTCAAAAATGTTTATACAAAGTTATGCAAATAGACAGTTTGTCAGAATGCAGGTCTTTTCCCTTCTCTTTGTCTTACTCCTGGACCCTCTGTTCAAGTTCTACTTCTCCCTCAACTCTTCTTGCACACAGCCTGAACTCCAAAGACAACTCATAGTCTCCTCCAGCCCTACAACCTACATTTCCTCCATGCCAACTCCACCATAACCTGACTTCCCAGCACCCCTTAAAGAGCTCCTTTACTCTTATCCATTTGGACAGTACCAATTAATAATCTGTTGATCTACACACACATATATATATATACACACACGCACATATATACACTCTTATCCACACACACACACACACACACACACACACACACACACACACACACACACACACACACACATATCCAGATGTATGTTTAAACTTTCCCCAGTTTGGAGCAGATTTAAAATCAGAATTGATGTTACTGAGCTTTTCATACTAACCATAGCACGCTACACAAGAATGCTTCAGAACAAATCTAATCACAGCAGTTCCAAACTGCGATTAATCTAAATAACAGAATAATGCAGAAAGCTGTACATGTCTTCAGCTCCAACATTTCCTTTCTTTGAATTCACCACTGCAAATGCAGATGATTGTAACTGTCGGAAGATGGTATTTTATCTTGCTTTGGTCAGATATTCATCAGACTCATCAAGGATGCCTGATAAACATTTCTCCATCTCCCATGATGATACCCCTAAACAGCATGCAGGTTACCTAATTTCTTCAGACCACTTTCCACTTCTGTGAGTTTTTCATTGTATCTTCTATGGGATGTTTCCATGCCACCTGTAACATTGTCCATTTTTTCTACAACTGGGAACACAAAAGCAATGAGTTAATAAGCACTTCCATTTCTATTCTGGAAGCATCATGTAAAATTCAAGTAATTAAATATAAGTAATTCATGATTTTTAACAACAGATCATATAGAACAGCAAATAAACAAGAGTAATAAATGATAGAAAAATACAAAATAATTTAGGTCATAGATATAAAATCCTTAAGCTATTTACCTCACTTGCCTTTAAACTCCACAATCAGATTACTCTACAGAATTTCAGAATATGTTGTTTTCTGCTTGTATAACCTAATACTCTGCTAGGCAGTCCTTCAATATATTTCCATCAATTTTTTCTTGTGATAATAAATAGATTTGTGGAGATTCCTCTTCGAGAATCTTCCTCACAAATCTACTTTTTTCCAGTACTTAAATGCTAATGGTATCCCACGGTCCAGTGGTGATGTGTAGGGGGTGTATGTGCACCCCCTGAGAGTGCTGGTGCACCCCTGACAGGCTTTACCCCCCACTTAGGCAATGGGCGGGGGGGGAGGGTAGGTGGGAGCGCCAGTGCCCCAGCCTGTGAGTGCCAGCCCGGGAGTGGGAGCGCCAGATGAAGCCCAATGGCCACTTCCCAGTCAGCATGATCGGCCGTGGCCCTGGTCGGCTAGATTGGCCATGGGGGGCCCCCCCAGTCACTGACTGGTTGCTGATGAGACAAATGTCCCCCACCCCAGACTAAGGTGGCACCAGTCACCAATGTCACAGGATAATGAAAGTATGCTGTGTGCTAGAAGTTTGTTCATAATAAGAGGGTAGAATAACAGGTCACAAATAAAAGGACAGAATTTATTTTTATTTGCTCTGTGTTATTTCTGTTTCTTACTAATTATAAACTACTTTCCAAGCTACTAATTTTGGCATCAAGGGCATTACTTCTAAGGTAGGATTCTTAAATGATATTTTCTGAAAAGCTAAGGAACTGTTAATCATCTTGATAACTATATAAAGGTACTCATTTTTAAAAAAAAATAATTCTGACTTGTAAGGGTTTATGCAATAGTCATTTAACAGCCATACACTTATGCTCTTTCTAGTGTGCTCTTTGTTTTAAAGGTCTGAATTATTCTCCTGGCAGTGATACATTTAACTGATTTTATGGTAATGATATGAAGGAAGATGATGAGAGCCAGACATAAGAACTCTTGAGATTCACAGTGATAAAAATATGCATCTATTATATCATGCCAAAACTCATGTCTTATAACCAGATTACCTAGCTACAAGTTGTCTGTGGTGGAAGGTCCATCTGAGTTGTTCCTGGAGGGGCTCCAGGAAGCTCTGAGTCTCAATGTGGTATGTCCCCAGCCACATGTCATGAGGAAAAAAAAGTTACTGCATCATGTCATTGGATGTAGCAGTCAATTCTATGAGGCAATGTGAAAATAACTGGCACAGCCAGCCATAGCCTTGCATCCACTTCATCTTCCCACCCTTTGCAGGAGGGACACAGGCAAGGGAAGAGCAGCCCGCATGCTTCACTTAGTATAGGACCTGAGACTGTGCCTGGTTCTTGTGTTAGGAGTAATTTCAGAAGCTCTCCTCTTACACTTTGCACCCTCAGAAAAATCATATATAATTTGCACCTGTAATTTGTGGTAGACAAGTGCTTCTCAATCCTTTATTTCCAATCCTCAATTCCTTCCCCCTTGTTTTTTCTGAAAGGAGGTACATGTATATAGCAAGCTTTTCATTCTTCAAAAACATAGAACAGGCAGACAGAGGGCTACAATCAGCATTGGTGTAACTACATGGAGGTATTTGGAGTTACAGTATAGATAAATTTGGCCTCATGGTTTTTTGAGGAGCTTGAACATTCTTGGGTGCAAAGCTTCCTTTTTTCTCCTTTCCATAGTGCTAATGAGCTGGCTACACAAAGGCCCCAGTGTGTGTGTATAAAAATAGAGCCAGGGAGCAGAGATCTGCATTTCAGGGCTGGTGTGATGGCAGCTGGCCTGCTACCTTCAAGATCTATGCTGATAGAGATCCAGAACTAACACTTAATGTAACAGAAGGCAGCTGTTTCTCGGTCCTTTTTCTTAATTTATTTCACTCAGAACTACTTAAGAACCTAGCAGAGATACCAAATAAAATCTTAAAACTTTTTTAGAGTCTCCTTGAAAAAATAATCTCTATCACAAAGAGAAACTAAACCAAATGCAGATGTAATAGTGGCTGTCTGATTTTTAAGGGAAAAATATTTTTCACTGTCTTCCACCTTACCAGGGATTTTCTCAAAAATAGCAGTGGTTTCCTATGAAGCATTCTTTTTTTATTTAAAGGTAGAGAAATGCCATACAAAATATTCCTTCTAAATCAAATTAGGGAGGATACTTGAGGTCTCCCTCTAGCTCCTTTCCTCTTCTAGACTAAAACTTCAGTACCACAAAACACTCAGGCATGCTTTTAAGTACCACTGACTTGAATTGGACTTCTGCATATCTTTAAATGCTATGTCTAGAAAAGACTTAAAGCAGGACTTGAGCAGACCTAAATCCAAAATGGTTATCTAAAAACACCCCATCCATTTGTTGCTGAAACATGCTTGGCACTTCCAGGTTTGATGTTAAAGTTCTTTCGGTGCCTTGAATTCTGCTTCTTGGCAAACCCAGAGCAGCCCCAAATAGACAACAACTACCTCTTGCTTAAGCCAAACTAGGATTCAGGAACTAGATAATCCTTTGCCTAAGTCTCCAAAAGGTCTGTTGTGATAGTTACTCTCACAACATGCTCACCACACACCAACCAGCTTGGACTTCTTGCAAATTGAAGTTATGATCACTCTTGGTGAAGGAAGTTGTATCCACCTTTTATATTATAATACCTTACTGGTTACAGCACTCACCTAGAAAGTAGGAGATCTGAGTTTTATGCTTTCCTCAGCCAGACAGGATTTAAATGCACATTAAATCCCAGGAGAATGGTTTAATCACCAAGCTATCAGCTATTCTGGTTTGGGTGGCAAAGAATGTAAAATTCATGGTGAATGACTGGGATTGCTGAATGGGTGATGTGTTATTAGAAAAAGGTACCTGAGGTATAGTTGGACCCTCCTGGACTTTTTCCATCTCTTCATTTCCTCATACATACGGAAGTAAGGAATCACAAAGAAAATATGACTCTGTGTCCTAGTAGTTAGAGCACTTACCTGGGAAGTCATGGGTTTTGATCGCAGCTTTGAAGTCTGTTTTGATATTTTTTTCCAATCATTGATTTATATAAAATACAAGATCAGGCCTAAGGGTCTCACTGTCAGCTGTTTCATTTCCCAGTCCCTATTCTTACATTCTTTGCTACACAGGGGCCTGGTTTCAACAAGAGGGTTAAATACATCTTTCTGTGCATCCCTGACCAGCCTACAGTCTGGTAGTTAGGCAAGCTTTTTGGTGATGGCTGATGTGGATTTGAACTTCCTCAGATTGGGGAAAGAACTTTATCTACATTTCCCACTCCCTGGATGAGTGCTGTAATCACTTGGCTATTATATGACATCACCACTCCCTTATATGTCATCACCACCTCTTCCTCTGGCCTCATCTTAAACAAGCAAGCTCTTTTGAATTCTGTAAAAGAATGGTTGTTGTCAACTATCCTCAGAAAAGTGTTCTGGGTTCTCAGACAGGCACTGACAGTACAGTGAGTGGTGGGATTTCAAACTCTGGAGTGGTGTGTTTCCTTCTGGCTAACTCTAGCCGCTACTTGCTCAGCATGTGAGCTTTCTGGATCTCCATTTTGAAGTGTCTGACTCTCCCCGTGCTTTATATATGAAGCCTCAGCTAGATTCCAGATTCTAACCTAGGAACCAGTCGGCCTAAGCCCTTAATTGGATTTAGCCTTAAGTACTTCCCTGACTTTAAGTATACTGCATTAATGGCCACCCGTTGGGCCCTTTTGGGGATTTGGGGTTTTAGATGATACTAAGTTGTAAGACTGCTCGTTCTTGTTACGTTTGTGATTGATTATAGAATATTTCTAGATATAGATAGATATGCACGTGTGTGATACATTATCTGTATTGCATTCTCATTTATTTGCTAGCCATATTCATTTTTGCAGTATTTTAATAAAGTTCTTGGTATGATTCCTCTGTAGAAAATTATTGTTTTTCTGGGAACAAAGGGGCTGGTTTAACATCTTTCTTTTGAATCTACCTCCCCTGCGGAAACCATAGATTTGGTAAGCCAGGCAGCAGCCACCTAGTTATGCTTCCTGGCAGTAATTCAGCAATCTTAATTAAGAAAAAGGATCTCTTTATAAATTTATGACCATTAAGAATAGGTGCACCAGTAAGTTAGAAAATTTCAGATATTAATACCTATTTTCAAGCTGCTGGTTTTACTTTGCCTCTTATTCTTTCTCTTGCTGTAAAAGTGAGTGAGAGAACACAAACTTTTAAGCCACAATTTGGCTTTGAGACAAATCCTGCACAATTTTAATCAGTAAGCACCACTTCCTATAATCTAAAAATAATAACAGTAAGTTGGTATAACTCTGGATTGTAAATTTTGAGCTTTGATAGGCTTAGTGTTGTACTCTGCTCATGCAGATGCTGATGGGTCAGGCTGGGGCATGAGGGTGCTCCAGTGCGAGGGCTGCCTGCCAGCTAGCCCCACACTGGAGCACCCTCGTGCCCCAGCCAGACCTTCTACAACATGTTGAGCTAGGTCGGAGCACCCCAGGCTGGCAAGCTGACCCCCACCCCCTGGATCCCCTGCCAGCTGGGGCTGTTCTGACCTGGCTCAACATGCTGCATTCCTGGGTGCATGTGTGAATGTGGCACCCAGAAGCAATACACTCCAGTGCAAACTGCTTGGGAGTTTATTCAGTTGAATTAATTGCATGTGTAGATATGCCCCCTGCATAGGTGGAACAGGCAGTAACTGATACCATTCCCTCTGACCTCTAACCAGTTTCAGATTCCTTACTTCCTTATGTATGAGGAAATGAAGAGATGGATAAAGTCCAGGAGGGTCCA